GCTGAAGGTCAATATTATTTATTTCTATGAGTTGAGCATCATGATCGGATAAGCCATTTATAAAGGGTCCTACAGTATAGTCTCTTAATTTTGAGTTATCAATGAATATATTATCTATCGCTGAACTAGAATTATTTTGAACTCTTGTGGGAAAGTTAACAGTACTGGAGAGATTGTTGTATTCATAGTGCATGTTATGTGTCTGGACAATCTTGCTGCAACACTCTTTATAATGCAAAGTGAAGAACAGCTGTAGTTACATCTATTTCATCAGAGGGATATCTCATCATGTTATATAAACAAGAAGCACTGACATAGCATCCAATGGCTTGCTGTTCTTATGGAGTTTCATGGAAATTGGTCATTTAATGTCTAGATTGGTGTTTATAATTGAGTCAGAATAAACAGCATTTAAAGTGGGTATTAAAGTTACTATGTTGTAAATTGCTTCCACTTGAAGTCCAGCAACATATGCATAAGAAGTGCATTCTTATAACCTAGCAACACTGGCACTGGCCCACTGCTCAGCTATGTATGCAATATGCTGTTTGTCATTTTCAGCAGTTTTTGTGATAATGTGAGTGATGTCAAGTAGTAAAGAATTTTTCCTCAAAATTTCATGCATGTAACACAATTTTACATGAATCACTTCTTATTCACTGTCTCACCTGCAAACTAGTGTTAAAATCTAAAAATTCACATAGAATAAAACATCTGTGTATAACACAGTCTGTCAGTAATGCAACAGATTATTCCTTTTTCTTCCACTTATACTTTAGCACAACATGCGTCGGCCTTAGATGGCCATCTTCAGGTGTCCTAATATATCAAAACTGCTACACTGCATTAATATGCACTAAAATCACATTCTGTAGTGCACTTAATAAAATAAAGTAAAACCCATTAAAATTTTCATTACTTTGGTGATATTCAATTCCACCTCACAAGCGGTGTCATCCACTTGTTTAGAGCTATGTGTTTCTCTCCATGTGTTTTGTTGCAGTAGCTTGTTTTTATGTTCGTTAGCCCGTTCTGTTATGTCTGCAATCTGTAATCTACAAAATTCCACATGTTAATATTGTGACATGTGGCGCAATGGAGGACAACCCCTCCTTCCCCCAGCAGTGACGTGGTAGCTCTGGTCATGGTGACGTAGCCCCCCCTCCCCGGGCTACGTGGCACTGCTTCCTACTGTGACGAGGCACGCAACGCTGGTGTCGACATGGCGTCAGGCAACAGTGGTACCCATTACGTAACAGGGCATCCACTCACGACACTACAGTCTTGACCCCTGCTAGCCTAGTGTTCGGACGAGACCTAAGACTACCCTGCGACCTACTGTTTGGGGTACCCCCAGACAAAGAACTACCCAAACCGATTATGCAGCAGACTTGGTGGATCATCTGCACGACATCCACAATTATGCCCGACAGCACCTGAAGCTTGCCAGTGACCAAATGAAAACTCGGTACGATAAACTGGCCAACTCCGCAGGTTACGACGAAGGCGACAGAGTTTGGCTCTTATCGCCCAACCCACAGGAAAGGGAAATCGCTGAAACTACAAGCATCGTGGGAAGGTCCTTAGTTAGTTAGGTATTGGAGAGGGTGGGTTTCCCCATGCACTTAGACCTGTATTGGTCCATTGTGCTTCCCTCTATGATTTCTACAAGTCTCTATATCCTACCGGTACTGGTGCTTACCATCAGTCCTGCCCAGCCAGCGAGACCGGCTCTACTAGCTGAGAGGTATCTATAATGCTTCCCCCATCTACCAGAGGTATTAGAGACTGCTGTTGGGCGGGAAACGTCCGTAATTTGGCTCAGTGACCTTTGGAGATATGAGGTTCTTTTACATGCCGTAAAGCTACGACACGGGGCCCATGGCTTAAAAGTCCCTCCCGGAGGACTTGTTCCCTGAATTTTTTCCGCCCTTAAAAATTCAACGACCTCCGCCGGGTATTTGAACCCACGTACTACGAGTCATGAGGTGGGAACGTTACCTCTAGACTACAGAGGCCGCT